CAAACAACAAATACTAATTCTGTTACAGCCTTGTTACATGACGTGTCATTCGAAGTTATCCCTATCTAACATCACTCACCCATCAAGTCCCTCGCCCATTTCTGCTCTGGTTCTGCTCACTCCACCGAATTATGTCTCCCATTATTTGCTCTGTTCCTTTTCTCTTCCCAGTCTCTCTGATTCACTCTTATTTAAAAACTGTGACCCGTCATATATGTACAAATGCACACATTTTTGACCTCTTTACTCCATATGTCTTATTGCTAATTGTTGACAGCTCAGGTGTTTTCATAAACTGTCACTTTTTTGTTGCCTCCTCATAGCTTTGGAATCCATGTTGAAGACATACTGCTTTTACCCGACTGTTAAACATACCTTTTTTCTTCACCTGGCATTTAACATCTGGATGATCAATGACTTCACACAAGGCGACACAGCTCAGCAGTGGACCTAGAATGCTTTCTCTCCAGCCGCTGCTGTGGGGACTGTAGAGGACAGCCATACTGAGGTCACTAGTGAGGTAGGTCCCCTCTCCAAACACCGAGTTCTGCAATGAAAAATGTCCATGTAAGCCCAATGTATCACTCTGATTTACACTCCAGCCCTTCAGCATCCTCTTAAACTTGCCTTGCTCCTCATGATCTGTAAAAAAACAATTTTTTAAATAAGGTTTCGGTACACTGACCTTGTTGAGGTGACAGTGTAGGCCGTTGTGAATAATCGAATGAAAGTTCTCCAAGCGGCTCCCGTGGAAAGCATAGAAAACATCTCGTCCTTCCCTCGTCCTCTCAAACCTCGCGTTCATCTGATCAGAGTACTCCAGCTCAAAGAGGAAGTCTGGCACGGGTGCAGACATCCCTTCATTTTCCGTCAGGCTGCAGAGTTTGGCGTACTAGTGAAGATCGGAGAAACACGCTTGAGCAAAGAAGAAAGCTGTGCAAGTTTGTGGTTTATCTCTCTATGCCTGTAACATACCTCTTCCTTCTGTAGTGTCTTTACAGCAAAGCTCTTTGAAGACAGAATCCAGTGTGCGAGGGCCAAATGATGATCTGCTTCTCCAGGTCGTAGTCTCACCAGCTCTCTCACACCAGGCAACGAGTTCACATCTGCCAGCTGGAGAAGGAAAAACTCCTTTCTTTTATCATATTACCACAAACAGATTCAAATGTCTCTTTTACACACGTCTCTCAAAGTGAGAAGACACCAAAGACATGAAATGATCACAAATTCATCTATGAGTAATAATTGGCATGAAGCTACCATTAACAGCACATCACTGCCACCGAGTGGATATATATCATGTTACATTTGATCAGTTCTCTCAATTATCTTAGCAGACCATATCGCAACTGAAAATAAACAATTCTTGTTTCTTCCCACTCATTCAACACAGGATCATAGGTCAGCCTATATGAGTGGTAGTGGATTTGAGAGTTGATACCGATTACTTGCTGGGAATTTTTCTGAAGTAGCTACATTTTATGTTCTACTGTTGAGTCTGCCATCCCTCTGTCTTCCCCTTTTGTGTAGATGTGTGCATGTATGTTATTTTTTCTAGTTGCCATGTAAAGCTCTGTATCACTTTTCATGTTAATGAGTGTCCTTGTGCTAGGATACCTCTGTCCATAGGCTTGGTGATCATTCTGATCAGTCACCTGAGTGAATGAATATATGGCTGAACTACAGAGGCGCTGCTGCTGTTGGTTTGGTGATCTTGACCCTACCCCTGAGGCTGGTTAAAGCTTGTATGATTAAACTGAGGAGCACTTAGGCAAGCATAGGCTACCAGTGACTATAATCTAGGATCTTCAAGAGGTTTTGACAATCACTTTAGCACTCACCAACTCCTCAAACTCCTTATTGTCACCACTTAAGTAACGAGGAGGGAATGGTCTAAGCAAAGAGTCTCTCTTGTAGTTCTGAGTGGCAGCAACGAAGAGGCTGCATCGCAGGTCTGCTGCTACGGGGTCTCTTTGCAGGCAAGAGCACACCAGCTCTCTGACTGCTTCAGGTGGCAGCGGTGGCTGCATTCCCAGCACTGTGTACAAAGAGATAAGATAGCACACGGCCAAGGTCTAGGTTTCCGCTTTATGCAAGTCTGCAGTCAATAATGACTAAGTTTTTAATCCTCACACATTGAAATATTTCAACTATCAAGGCTCTTGTAGTTTATTTCACTCAAATCCTCACATCAAAGAGGATGCTATAATTTAACATTTAGCTTTTTGGTGAGTATTGTGGCAGTGTGGCATCTCGCTGCCTTTTTTCTTTTACTTTGAAAGATGTTCTGCTTGGGATGCAAACGCTGACATTACACCTCACCCTTGGTTTGCTAAACTAGGACACTAGCTAAATTCAGCTCATCTACTGGAACAATTACATACTTTAGCTTTTGCTAAGTTAGATTGTTTTGGTTTAATACAATCTTTATAAAGTCAATATTAGGACAAAAATGACAGTTCAATTATAGTTACTAATGCTGATTTGTAATGTTAGTCTTACCTTTCTGTATTTGGTTACTAATATTATGCAAAGAAAGCGACGTCTGAGTAGCTAACATTAGCTGAGCCACTACAAGAGAGCATAACTGCCGCTCTTCACTAAATAAAGCCTTGTCGGACTACTGCAGGTCCCCGTATGTATTGGGAATACATCACTGTGGCACTCGTATGAGTTAAATTTGACAGACCTTGTTTAGAAATATAATTTTTGCCCTTACCTTCAGTCTTGCTTAACTCATAGCACTGAAGGGAAAGCTAGCGTTAGCTTCAGGCACTGCTGCGTTCAAGCACAGTTCTGCCTTTTGGAAACCGTATACGAAACACATCAGACAGATGTGCAGCTGAGAAAGCGTGTGAGCCGTGCTATCGAGGCAGTCTGAGACAAAGACGGAGCACAAAATTAATTTCCGCATAAACGCCAATGTGTATTCGGTCTGCTGTTTTAAAACGTTTATTCTACCTGGAGTCTAACATTGCACAGGGCACGCGAAGGCAGGATTCATGAGACCAACTGTACCGATGTTTCAGAGAGCCATCTAATGTTTGACAGTAGCAACTAAACAGTGCTTCAGCTGCTGGGGTGGCACGATAGACAGTCTTAGGCCATTCATATCTTTGTATTTTATTAGGCACACCGATTTAGTGAGATATATGCAAACATACAGTACATTGAAGTACAGAAAAAAAAGATTTTGGACCATTCTAATACGTTTGAAAGTCAATATTTGATATAAACATATCAGTTTTTCACCACACCCTGAACGCTCTTTGATAAGCTTTCTTATCATTTCTTTAAGCAGACTTCAGAAATAGTTCTCCAGGTTTCTTGAAGGGCATTCAGAGGTCTTTTTTGAATGTTCGCTGCCTTTTGTTCCACTCTTTCTCAAGATCTTCCCACACTGCTTCAGTAATGATGAGGTCCAGGCGCTGGGAAGGCCAGTCTATGACTAATAGTGATCCACTGTTTGATTTGAATCACATGTTTTCCAGATGGTAATATGTGGTGGATCAAAATCTGATGGTATTTTTTGTGTTCATTATTCCATCAATTTGCGAAGATCCCAAACACCACTGTGTTTTCCAGGTGGCTGTCTGCTATACCTCTCTCTCCTGACCTGTTGCCACTGTTCTACAGTCCAGTTCTTGTGTAGTTGGGCATACCTCAGCCTTTTCTTTCTGTTTCCCTTCCTTCAAATCTGTTTTCAAAGACATGTTATATCCATCAATTACTCTTAAATAGAATTAAATAATCTACCAGACCAATTCCTTCAAGAAAACCAAACATTTCCTGTGGAATAGACTACTGTCTTTTGGTCTTTCCGTAGATTTTTATACAACAAACACTAAACTCAGAAATATTTGTGGGTGTTTTCTTGTTTGTTTGTTTTTTGTACTACTTGAACACTAAAATGGTCCTCACATGAGATGACAGTGCCAGCAGTGGCCCACAGCGCATTTAAGTTTGAAACCCCTGTTCAAGTTAGCAGAATATGTACTTTGAATAAAAGAAATCCCTTGGTTGCTTATGGTTTCTCAGTTTCTAATAATACTAATCAAGTCACATGAGGGAATTGTTTCGCAGCCTGGTATAAAAGTGATCAATAAGTCATTTATAAATAATTTACTACTCCTTAGTATCTTTTCAGCTTGATAAGTATTTTAATTGCACACAGCAATTTCAGCCATGCTGATTATGTGGTTTCTTTGGAATAAACTTAACTTACTGTGAAGCAAATTTGTAGTCAAGCATAGGAGAAAAGCACAAGAGAATTGATCCAGTCCATATTAACTTGTTGTACCTCAGGTAAAGGTACTATAATACTATTGTTTTTGGATGAAAATATTTTGCAGCTGGTGCCCGAAGTCTAGAATTTATAACCAAATGCTGCACTTCCTCCCTTGAGAGGATTTGCCAGCTGTTTAATGAGTGTCTCCTTTGCTTGCAGCGACATCTTTTTAGACTTCGTATTGAGCATGTCAGTGCACTGCTACTAAATGCACGGAATAACGAGGGAACAGACCTCATCTAATCATCAAATAACTTGTTGTATAATTGTACATGTTTCGACCCTCTGAAAATAGGGGGTACATATAAAAAGTTCCTGAATCAATTGAATTGAAATCCATTATCTTGGTGTACAGATGCAAAATTACAAAAAAAGTAATTCTACTTATCAAGTGTGTTTTTATTTATTTTGTTTTGTTTTATTTTGTTTTATTTTATTGCACTTGTATATATATTAAAAACTACTACTACTACTACTACCACTACTGGGAAAAGAGTTGTACATTGAAATGTATTTATACTACTAGTAAAGCGGTATCTTTATTATGGAAGTAGCTGATAACAGGCAGCCAATCAGGTCAGGTTGTGTAATGCCTCCTCTGATTTTTAACACTGTCAACCTATTGGTTAAGAGCTAAAATATTTCTCCTTTGTGATTGGTCAGGTCAGGTCAGCAACAAATCCAATGTTTTTCCAGGGCCCTGGTCCTACCCGGCCGGGCACAACCCAGCGTCGAGGAGGGGGCCGGTATGTACGTAATGAAAAGACCATACGTGACGTGCCCGCCTCTTACTCCCAACCCCATCATTTGAGGAAATACGCGACATTTTCGTGTGATTAGCGCCAGATCTAGCTGTTTCGGCCACTGTATTTTAATACAGATGAAATCGTAGGATGCAATTTAAACGGACGGAGGTATTCTAGCGACATTCACGGACTGAACCGGAGGTAGGACATCGCATTTTCATTCATTGGTCTCCAGCTAGAGAGGGAGGGAAAATATTGGATTTTTTTATTTTATTTTATTTTATTTTAGCGGATTCTAGCTTCGGTAAAACCTCGAAATTTGTAGGCCGGGCTGTTTACTGCGAGGAGTTTGTGCTCGACTTGCTCGACGTCCGGATGATGAACAAGAGCCCCGATGCAGCAGCCTGTCGCGCAGGCTGAAGGACGCTTCTCCATCGCCTGTAATCTCAATGCACTACCCCACTGCAGCATCACTGCCGCCAGCCGAACGAAATACACGTCTAAGACAGCCGGCGATTCACAATGAATAAAAGCAACTTCAGCCAGACAGCATTTTCGTGGCATAGATTGGTTTATCTGTGCCAGAAAGATGCCCTTCAATACACCATGCGTCCACCATGACGTGCGCTACAAATATGATTTTCTAACACAGTTAAATATGGAAGGTAGTTGATTATGGCCTGCTTAGCAAGGAGAACGCGATAAACAGAGAGTAACGTCTATATAATCCAGCCTTTAAGCTCAATAGGCCTTTCAAACGCCTATTTTGAATCCCAAAGGATATGCATTCGAGATCACGACAAGGCCACACTGTGTCCTGGAGCGCGCATTACACCGCTAAAATATGTGACCAAGAAAACAGGTTCATCTCAGTCTATCTGATGCTCCTCTGGAGGCTGGGTACCACCATGGGTACCTCCTCTCTCCAAATCGTGTCAGGATGTCAAAGACTCCTATTGCAGTGATTGTGGCCTGTTGCTTACAAGCAGGGCCGGGATAGTAAGTGATGTTGCACTTAATCATGCACTTCTCTCCTTTTCTGCAGTTTGCTTTTCAAGGGAGCTGAGATTGAAGAACTCTGTGTGCCTGGTTTACAAGTGGCGGAAAGCAGTGAATCATGGCAGGTGAGCTTCCCCCTTTTATAAAGGTTGAATAAAAGCTCATGCACCTCTCTTGACTTGATTTCTTCTTGATGTGAAGCACTGAATCATGTCTCTGTGTCCTAGAAAACAACTTCCCTCCCCTTCCTCGCTTCATCCCCCTTAAGCCATGTTTTTACCAAGACTTCAACGAGATCCCAGACCAACACCGCACTATGTGCAAGAGGCTCTACTACCTCTGGATCTGTGAGTGTACCTGCAGGAAATGCTTTTTATTTTCTTTGCATTTGGAAGCAGTCGGTATTTGCATGCATCTAGCTGTAACCCGTTAACCTGTCTACTTCTCTTCCTCCTCATGCCGGGCTGCTTTGTTTTACCCAAAATATTATGAGAACTAAAGAGTGCAAACACTCCGTGCAGCTGGGAAACTAGATTGGCCGGTCTCACATTATGTCACAGAGCCAGATAACCACCGTTTTCATTTTACCGTGGTTTTTATTTTGAGGGGTAAAGTTCGAAAATGATTTAGCTCACAGATTTACTTTGTGGTTTGTGATTTGACTGACAAACTGTTTACAAATCTGAAGCCCAATTGAGGTCCCACGGGCAGAAAATGAGGACTTCAGCTATATTTTTTTAATTTCCCAAGAAAATAATTTATTTACACAAATCAGTGGGGTACAAAATGAAAAATGGTACATCGTGAAACAAAGTTACAATCCAATACCAATATTTGATAGTATTGATACTTGGATTGTTCCATTCACCTCTAATGTATGCTATAACTCTTAGAATATAATACAGAAGTATGTGTGTGCAATCTTAGGCTTGACAGGTGTCACCTGTCACAGAAAGAGGAGTTATTGTACAGTTTTATAGTGAACGATAGGAATAATTTCCAAAAACATTTATGCTCTTTGTTTATTCCCCACTATTATCTGAGATCCACTAACTCTTAACTCATTAATGAAGAACATAATTTGTACATAATTACAGTCACATGAGTATTATGGTATGTTTTTCATTATCACATAGGTGCTGCTATTTAAAGCAAAAATGTAAGTCTGGTGAAAAGAGTTTAGAGTATATGTTATGTTGGGTGGAAATGGTGTGCTGAATAAAATGCACCTCTATATCATATTTTATTATTGTAGTTTAAGTCTTGAATGTAGAACTGGAAATATGGCAGTGTGTAGTTGTTGGTCTTCATAGTGATTAAATCCTGCTGAGTTATGAGTAATGATGGAGCCTGCGGGGTGTTTGCTGTAGCGTTTTTTTTGTTTGTTTGTTTGTTTCCTCACTCTTTTATGTTTTTGTCATTCTTCCTCTCTGTGACGCTGATAGTGCATAGTGCCACGCTAGCTGTTAATCTGATTGGTTGCCTGGCATGGATGTGTGGAGGCGGTGGAGCTACCAACTTTGGCATGGCTATCCTGTGGCTCATCCTCTTCACCCCTTGTTCCTACGTGTGCTGGTTCAGGCCCATCTACAAGGCCTTGAAGTAAGCGTGTTTCCCTCTGAGTTACACTTCTTCCTGCTGTTCCGCTGAATCAGATCGTTTCTGACGATTAGTCTCTCCACGCAGGACAGACAGCTCATTCAACTTCATGGCTTTCTTCTTCGTCTTCATGGCCCAGGTGGTGATCAGTATTATCCAGACTGTTGGCATTCCAGGCTGGGGAGTGTGGTAAGAGTTTGTACTGGTTTATTAAAAGTAATGTGTACAGATGAAATGGAAATTAACTGGCATGTATAGAGTTTATTTCTTGTCTTATATTGTTGTTAAAGATGATTCTAGAAGCACCTGAATCAAGGGGTATACTTTGTAATCTAATCTAAAGCATACACTTTCATTCAAAAAATAATTTTTTTCTAAACCAATGAGGCTTTAAAGAGGTTCATTATCCTTCTGAGGTCTAAGCCATCAAACTTTAACTCCTAATTCTTAAATCATTTTTTTGGTGATAAAATATGATTAACTTTGATGCATGGTTGTTTTCTTTGTTCCCTGATTGCCAAGATATGGGAAAATAATTTAATAAATGAAATAACTATATTCCCATCACCTAGGTTTAGAGTTAGTGTTTGGGTTTTCCACCACCACATAAGTATACTGTAATATACTCAACCTCTCTTTAACGTTAATGTACTGAAGAGAAATGGGAAATATTAAAAAGCAGGTATACAAGCAGTTTTTTACCCCTTGTAAATCCTTTTTGTTCGAACCACCATTAGCAGACGGCCTGCTATACCTCCTGAGCTACAGCAACCCCAGGAGACACCCTTTAGGAAAACACAGAGTTTGTCCAGCACAAGGCTCTCTACAACTTCCATTTTGATCAGGCTGTTTTGAACTCCACAAACACAACAACCAGCTGATCCGAACAGAATCATGCCTGAATTATTCTTCGGCAGGAAATCTATGCTGTAGCTTTCGTTGTAACTGAAAACTCTTTTTAACTCTACACTGTAACCTGACATTCAGCTTTTAAGAAATGTATCTATATGCTGGCTCAATGGCATGGAGGGTTGCGATGTAGGGTTAAGAGGGGTTTCTGGTTGTAAAGTTAGGATGTAGATTTTCTGCAGAAGTCTACATCAGGCTTTAGGCACAGCATAGATTAGTAATTCACAGCTTCTAACAATAGTCTCTAAATATTTTGGTATTAATCTTAAAAATCCAATATCAGAATTATCTAGAATTATCAAGCTTAATGTATTATTTAAATATGGCGTATTGTGAGCATATGATGATTCTTCTGTGCTTCTTCTTCAGCGGTTGGCTGGCCACCATCACCTTCTTCAGCACCAACATTGGCTCAGCTGTGGTCATGCTGATTCCCACCATCATGTTCACTGCAGTGGCTGTTTTATCCTTCATCGCCCTCTCAAAGGTGAGTGACAGATTTCTACCTGGTCACAGAAATTATTAGATCAATCAGTGCTGGTATTATCAAGTGAAAGATAGCAATCCAGTCCAAGTAGCATTGAATAATTAGCTTGTATTATAATGCCAGCACCGTTTCCCACTTAAAGGGAAGCAGTGATAACATGACATTTGATCCATTTGCACTAGCAACAGAAATTTTTGGAGGTGATATTTATTTATTTCAGGCTGTTTTTAAATCCCTTTTTGGTGAATGCAAGGAATCCATGAGGGGCCCAAGTACTTATTAGAACTTGGTGATCAGAGGTTATTGTGGCTGTTTTTTTTGTTTTTGTTTTGTTTGTTTTGTTTGGGGGGGGGTTTCTATAACTCTGTATTTGACAACATATTACAGTAAGGTTTAATAGGATAACATTATGACGTTTTCTATACAAAATGTCGAAGGTTGACTTCACTATGACATCAGAGTGTTCTGCAAAAACATTTGAAGCCACAACTCTTGAAAAGAAGAGGGGATTGTGACCATATTTCATGATTGGTGGCATCTAAGTTGATGATGCTAATCCCGAGTTCTAACGTTAAAGCTTTGGTCAAGGTGTGACTGTTTTGTGCTGCAGGATTAAAGATGTGTGTGAAGCATCCACCTTTTAGAATCTGTTGTTTCTTTAAGGCTATTATTCTAGTGTTTTAACTATACCTGCTAAGTCATTGTGGCAATTTCTTACCATGGGAATGCTGTCCATCTATCACCACACCCTCATATATCAATCAGCGGTATTCTTTGCTCTCATTGGTAGTTGCTTCACTTTGTGGATCCCAAGTTAACGGGTCCCAAAATAGCAACACCAGGAGTTATTTTGTCTTGATGTCACTTATTGTCATTGAGGGTCCGATGCCCCTTTGGCTGTGCCTGCCCACATGGACATTACATAAATCAATCGGTAGTCATGACTAGATGGCATAAACACACAGCTCTGGATCTGCACTCAGCTCTTTTGTCCAATAAACTGTGACAAAAAACTAGATGATTGTGAAAACTATCTTTTTGATTTTAGTAAAGCACAGCAAAGCAAAGATATTACAAGAGGGGCCTCAGGAACGACAGAAATTCAGTTTGAAATTACTTGCAAGTATGTACCATTACATATTTATATAAATTTATTATTCATATAAAAAGTGAAGTAAAAACGGTAATAACAGTTGGTTATGTTGTGATAGTGCTCATTACTCTGACCTGAATTTACCGCTCCTGTATTAAAGTTTGTGTCCCAGGCAGGCGGGTCACAGATTGGCCTTAACACTTTGCTTAAGACTGGGTAGGATTAGCAATGAATAGCCAACAGCCTGTGTTTATGTTTTTAATACATTTTTCAGAGAAATACATCAGTTTGCCTTGTGTTTCGATCAGAAGATCTAAGATCGGGTGGGCTTCATGGGATTTTCTGGTTTTTAAGTGGGCCGCAGCATAGTGATGATTTTTCATCCACTTCATTATTGTTTTTTCATATTGGTATAAATTCAACAAAAACAAGATATTAGTGTATTTAAAATGCAACATTAAAGTAGTAAATAATCATAAATATCCCACTGCAGAATTGTCACATACTTAACAAGGTGCGTCAACTTCATTAAGAACGTCATTAAGATATAGGATGATATCATTTAGTATTATAAGCTGGGAATTTCTTGCGTTACAGCAGGTATAACATTATTTAAACATGACAAGCATTGGGAGTGTAAGTCTCAAATATATCTTTTTCGGTCTAGAATTGCTTAGGAACAGCTCTTTGGAAAGTAAATGTTGCCAATAATGTGGTCATGACACAAAAAAATGAGGTGCCACTACAGACAAATAATAAAATTCACCTTTTCTTTATGGTAATTTGGTCAATTTTACAAATTTAAAAAAGTAAAAGTCATACTTGATAGAGAGTAAAATTCATGTTGAATCCCATTTCTCCTTTCTGTCTTTTTTTAGGTGCATAACTTCTACCGCGGCAGTGGTGGCAGCCTGGGTAAAGCCCAGGAGGAGTGGGCTACGGGTGCCTGGAAGAACCCCCATGTCCAGCAGGCAGCCCAGCAGGCCGCCATGGGGGCTGCTCAAGGCGCCATGCAGCAGAATCAGTACTCAGCAGCTCCCACCTACAACTACGACGAACCCATGTAGGACAGAGGAGTAGGCCAGGCGGCTGAGTGGGAGAACTAAAAAGGGATCAATTAAGAACACAATTCAGAATTAGGTGCCCGTCATTATAACACTGTAATGCTGAACTCAAACAGAACAATGTAAAAGTCATGTTTTTGGTGCAAATGTACTGGGATTTCATTATTTTACTCGGTTCACATTTAAATCAACAGTTATTTTAAAAAGCAAAAAATGTTGCTGTTGTTTTATGCTGCTCAGTTGTAGCTGGTCGGTGTTGTTTTCCAACAGAGACACATAGCCTAAAATAGGTAGACCCAGTCCCCTGAGCATCTTCAGTTTATTTGAGTAGGTGGTCTCCAATGTCACTCTGTAAATTTTCTAATGATCTTTAATGTGATATTTAAGGGACTGAAACAGCTATATTGTTAAGGGTCTTTACTTTTATTAGCCTTGAAGATCACCAATGCTGAAACAGTTATTTCTCAGCTGATGTAATGGACTAGCTGTTTGGCTAAATTCTTATATACAAATGTCAAGAATTTTTTATTTCCCATTAAAGGAATAGTTTGACCATCTTGGGAAACACCTTAATTCACTCTCTTGCTTCAGGGTTATATATAGGGTATTATAAAATTAATCTTTGCTAGCAGCCAGTTAGCTTGAATTAGCAAAAAGACCAGAAACTAAAGCTGAAACAGATAGTTTGGCTTTATCCAAGGATATTAAAATCTTCTTAGCAATTATAGCTAGCAGTATAGCTCTAATAATCTGACTAGCTCGTTATATGTCACTTAAGAGCTCTTAGAGGCAGATTTTATTTCATTTTGACAAAGTCATGCAAGCTGTTTCTCACAGATGTGAAAGATCCACAGATCGCAAGGGGAAAATATGTACTCTCCAACGGGCTAGCAAGTGGTTCCTGGATATTGCCAATAGTCACCAGGTGAAATCACTCAAAAAAAAAAAGGGTGCAACACCAAAAACCTCCCTTGTGGTTGCTTTGGTTGCTAGCAGGTCAAATTTAGTTTGCATTGAAGATGCTGACTTGTATGCAAATGCTCGCTAACTATTGACCTAGCAGCAGTAAAACTTGAAAAAGTGCAACTTAACCAGGAACGTTCTGCCTTTTGAAACATGTTGGCTGCACCGCTGAGGCACAACTTTTATTTTAAAGGCTAACGTTTTCCGTTTCACCACAGCTCAGATAGCAGTTAGACAGTTTTTGTAGACAAGTTAGCATCTTCCTTGCAAACTACTAGCAACCGCAGCAATCTGTTAGCGACCAAAGCTATTTCATATTTACATACAGATGTGACAGGGGTTGCTTTTTAACTTACAGCAAGAAATTAATTGGATCAAACTACCTATTTCTTAAAGGTTATGGTACATTTTAAGTAACCTTTTGAGTTGTTGTTTTTTTTTTTTAATTATGCTTAAATACCAGTAAAGAAACTCATCATCTTTCTCTGCTTTTTTTCTTTCCTTTTTTTTGATTGAAAAAGAAAGTTAAACCGACTAAATTGAATATTCTAAAAAACAGAAATATGGAGTTTTTGTTTTGGTGATCTTTTTGACAGTATAAGTCGATTTATTTACATTCTCAGGAAAAGTCTAATAGCTGTTTTTAAATTCTACCTGTAAAGCCTGTAGAGCTTCAACATGTCGGGCTTTTGTCTCCTTATATCGCCCCTATTGACCATGTTTGGTTTTGTCGTTACATACTAGTTTTATGTTGAGCAGGCTGAGTTTAGTTCAAGTATTTCATTTTTTTTTTCATGTTAAAGTGAAGCACACGCAGTATTTAAAGATTGGAGTTTATTGGTCAGACATTCCAAATCAATGTTAGTATAAAGGTCAAAGTGAAAGAAAACCAAAACACTTGCAGGTTATGGTAAGTAATAGTAATAATTGTTGTAAGGTGGTCATAACATTGTATGGAGTGATGGATGTTTACTCTCCCTTTGGCAAACTCTCCCGCTTACCCCTACGTGTAAATGCTTCAGTGACTCCTTGTTTCTGAAATTCGGGATTTCAGGCCTTAGTGTGTTATTTCGTGGATGTTGGTGTTATTCCATGAGTTGGTGTAATAAGAAATCTACATAAAAGAAAAAAAAAAGAATATTAAATTCAATCCAGCTATTTCTTTATGGAGTAAAATATCACAAAAAGACATTCGTGCGTAGCCCCGGTGAGGCCTGATGTGTTCAGTCAGAGACGGTGTCGTTCTGGTTTCTTCGAGTCTTTGAAAGCTTCAGCATACAGTAGATGGTTCGTACAGTCGAACACTATTAGATTTAAAACAGTGAAGTTATCTGAATCCTCGTTACTTTAAAATCTGTGAGTCGTCTTGTCTGATTGTGATGACGTGGTTTCCAGTAGGCTGTTTGTTGTGCTACCTTTTAGTTGTTTTGTTTATCTCTCTTTTTTCCTGTGTATTTGAATGACGTGTGGATGCTTGTGAAGCACATGATTTGTTGTGTCTTTCTGTTTTTTGTTTTTTTACTATACTTTTTGTTTTTGGAAAAAAAAGTAAGTAATATTTGCGCTGGTTTTCCTCTTGGCATCGGTGCAAACTTCATTCAGAGTGGAGCAATACTAACAGTAGAGTTATTACAATCAGCTGGGGTCCTGTTGTGCAGCCTTTAAATACAGGAAGAAAAATGTTACCAACCCCAACCTAAAGTGTCATAAAATGAATAGCTAGCCTGTTTTTGAGTTGGACACCACTTGTATGATTTTACAGTTTCATAGCATTTTCACCAGCACATGCACACACAGAAGTAAGGAGGTGTAACCCTGTAAAAAGTACCATACATCCGCTCATCTGTTAGTAAATGCACAGCTGGCCATTTCTATAACGTAAATGTGAATTTTTTTGCACAAAGTTGAACAAATAAGCTACTTTCCCTGTGTATGTAGTAAGTTGGTGAACTTTGGATCAGTCCAAACTTTCCGCCATATGTACATACGGCACAATTCATGTGTTTATGGAAATTGCAGCTGTGTAGTTATTGTGTAGCAGGAGCCGCTTATACACTTAATGCCACTGTATCAAAGCTTCTGAAAGCCATTTTCCATCTTATTCCCACATGTACTGTATGTTGTGTAAAATGTATTAACATGTACTATATCATAAGTATATATGAATATATAATTACTTGAGGTGCAGTAAATATTTGCCATGGATCAAACAAATTGAGTAGGCCCTAAATAGTCGAATAAGTCGTTTGAGGGGGCTGCGTCTCCACGAGTGAACGAGGAAAACATTTTGTGTATTACTTTTGTATTATTTGGTCTTACCCTAATAGATATTAAATAGTTCTTGTTGCATCCTGTTTTGTTATGTGATGAGTTTGCATACGGGTACTATACAGTTGTAGATATGGAAAATGTAACTTTTTTTTAAATGAACTATTGACTTTTAGGTGTAAATAGCTGTGTCGAGTAGCTGACCTTCAATTTCTTCTGTCCAAATACAAACCTTAAATATTCTAATATTCATCTCACCTCCGACATAATTGAATTTTGATTCTTTTCTAGGTTAAAACTCGCTAAAAAAAAAAAAAAATCCAATTTAGCCTAAACATGGTGATGAACAGTGATGTGGTTTCTTTTTACATCATAAATTACAATTCATAAACACTTTTATGGATGCTTCATTTTTAAGGAAGGTTGATGATTTGAATACTCCAAATGAATCAGGGGCATTTGTATATATCATTCATTTCATACCTCAGCACACTGTATCCGATTATTACAACTGGAAATGATGTGGTAGTGGAGTAGTAACTAAGTAACCTATAATAAATTACAGAGTTATAAAATATAACAAAATGGTTCTAATAGATACAAATAGCTCTAATTATAAATATTCCAGATGCTGATCACTATGCTAGACAATCTCCCAGTTTATATTTGTTATATTTGTTCAACCTGCCATCAGCAGCCAATCAGCAACTAAGTTTAAATCAGAGAGGGAATAGAGCAGGTTAATGAGGGTGGCAATAAAAGAAAAACACAAGAGGAAGCCCATTGCTTTCTCCATATCCCCCCTGACTCGTATTTCTGTAGCTTTGCTCTTTGCTAGTGCCATCGTCCCTGCTGGTAGCATGAGATGGTACTTGCAGCCTATTCAGGTTGCATATCCATGCATGCTGTCACAAGAAAATTTACTGGGTCTTCCTGCACAGTCCAGCACAGAAATGGAGAAGGGCATCAACCAGGCAGCAGGACCAGCCCCTTTGTGCGAGGAGGAACAGGAGGAGCTCTCCAAAGTGACCTGCAGCAGGCTACTCGTGTAAATGTTTTGTCAGAAACAATGAGATCTGCCAGTGAAGCGCCATGTGAGCCCTGAGCACATGTGACAGATGTGAAAGGGTCTGGACACAGCGTGTTCAAAATTACGCTACCAGCAACATCATCCAGCATGATCCTTCAAGGCATATTCTTGAAGGATACCATAAACCTCCATGTTCCAGCCAGCAGTACCAGGCTAAAACCCTCGGATCTGATGGTGGCCTCACCCATCATGTTCCCCAGGCACATCCATGACTTTATCCAAGTCTGGGGGAAGATTCCCAGCACACCATCCACCATCACTTCACGAGTGTTCCCAGATGTTGGGAGTGCACATGCAAGTGGGGGCTGTAAACAGTAATGAGTACTAAATGAGCTGCATCAGCCTGTAATTTGAATTTTTAACTCTGCTTTTTGTGGTTTTGAATCCAGCCCTCAACAAGCTGCTGAAAGGGTTTACACTGACCGTTATATCATTTCATTCTCAACAATTTATACTGCATCCATGCTTACCAGTAAAGATTTTCATCTTGAATATTTCATTCATCAAGAGCCAATGTATATTTTAAGTGTTTCCTTAATTTCCTGGAGGTGTAAAAAGAATTTATGGATTCCTAAACACAGCTCTAAGAGATTAAGTATTTACCCAATTATTCCAATAAACTACAGACTTAAAGGATATCAATCCTTTGTAGTAATGTTTGTAAACTCACTTGAGTACAAATATTTGCTAAATAAGCAACAGAAACAATTTCCCAAAGGTTTTGTATTTATGTAGTTATTTACACCTTTGCCAAATTTTGAGTCAAATATTCAATTTGTACAATTTTAGTTATATTTAAGTATTTGAATACATTTTCCACGCTTGGCAATAAGAATAATGTAAAACCAGGGAACTCTGAAACTAAACTTTAACATCACTACTAATTATTGCACTTGAGATAAAACCAGATAAGAGTTACCTTACTCTGAATGTGCCGGTAGATTTTACCTCATTTTAACTATTTTTCTTTTAAGTACATAAATTATTACACTACATTGTAAATATGCAACTACATAATAAAATTGTGTAAATTACTTAATACACATTACAACTGCCACCTAATCATCAACTTTAAATTATGGAGAAATATATTTGATATTCAAGAGAAACAAAAACTAAAAAAATTTGCTACTGAATAAAATGTAAATTAAAACAATTGAAAAACTTTACAACTCCAATGCTACACACGAATACCAGTGATAATCTTAAAATTCTTTATTCATAAACTTGATACAAGTTTACAAATTACTGTACATGGTCAAAATTTCTTCAAATGGAAAAAAAACCAAAAACAAGAAACCCAAAATGAGCCAAGAGTGTCAGACTTGTTGGTGCCAGAAAATGAATTGAGATAAATGATACACAGTCCAGTTAGAGAAGCGCCCAATTACCATTGCATGACCGTCAAACTTGAATCGTCTCAGTATCTGCTGTGACCCAAGCTTTTGCATTTTGAAGGGAGGCAGTCACACATGTGGATAAAGGGTCTGTAACAAAGGGTTTAATGTGCACCTCCTCTCTACACCTGACCACACGGGTCCCCATCATTGGTGAAAGTGTCTTGATAAAAGATATTAATAACCTCCACCCTCAGATACATCCTGTTGTCACAGGTCTGATGTAAGCAGTGTGCTGAGAACAAAAGAAATTCTGATCAGAAATTATTCACGATATGACACCTCTCTGGGGAGAAGGGGGGTGGGGGTGAAAAAAAAAAAAAAAAAAAAATCAGTGAGAGCAATTACACAGACTGGTCAACATGCTCCTTGCAATCCAGCACTCGCTATGTAAATTGCTTTATTACAAAGTCATGCGACCTGTGTTTTAAAGTTCAGTTCATCAGTGGGCAAGTATGTCAAAACATTACTGAAACTGTGCACTAATTAAACCCAGAAAGTCACCCGCAGCTCAACATGGACATGTACCGATCCCCCTCCTAAGTATTGTTTGTTACCTGAGTTGCCATTCAAATGTACTTTTGCAGACAGTGTTAGCAAATAAACTGCAAAAGAGCCAACAGATTGATAGATACAACGTGTGTCCTGTAATTTGGGGAACAGCAGCACTCTGTGTGTACTACAGGATATTTCAAGGTCAAAGTTCGAATGTACAGTTTTATAATCACACTACTAAATCATCCTTTTCCACAAGCAACACTGAAACACACCTGTGCTATATTGTAATGGCAGAGGAAGCCCTACAGATAATGGACATTTAGCTCCAAGTCATGTCGAGTGACAGGGCGGCACACTTTAAATGGGCAGGGAGGGGAACGAAAAACAAAACAAAAACAAACAAACAAAACACTACAACAAATTTATGCGAGGATGATATGACAAGTTTGCTTTAAAATTAAATTAAAAAAAAAAAAAAAAAAAAATGAACAGAGGAACATCCAAAAAAACCTTAATTTATTTCCTCAATAAAGTCCACTCCAGCAGATATGCTGGATGAAATGACTGCAATCAAATCAAACCCAGCTTTTTAGATCAGCGGCTGAATAGGGGGCTTCTGTACAACGTGCTGTTAACTTTACACACAGATGGCTTCATTGTCAGCATCCAACTAGCCATCAACCTCTACAGCTATTTAAAAAAAAAAAAAAAAAAAAAGCACTTGCAGCCTTTGACATAAATAAGGCAAGAGGACCCAAGAGGGGTTAGAACTTCCAATCTTATGTATCCTCTCACTATAAGATATACAATATGAAAATTCTGATTTATTTCATACCTATCGGCCTTATTTTCTAATTAACTGCAAGTTGACTTGTTCACAACACTGCAGCATTTTGTTTCTGCTTGACCCGATGTTCTTCACACATTATAAAAAGCAAGTGCCAAAAAAAACAAAAAAAAACAAACAAAACAAAACAAAAAACAGTGAGTAGGTAATCTCAAATTTAAGATAAGCTTACAAAATATGGAATCGTATCATTTGTTGTCTAGGATACCCAAATAATTTAAAAAAAAAAATGCCAAATAATATTTCTAGAACAATGTTTGCATCTATGTACCAGTTAATTTCCAAAAAAGAGAAAAAAAAGAAAGAAAGAAAAAAAAAAAAAAAAAAAAGCAGTTGTGAGGAGGTTCTGCTTCTGTATCAATCTTCCTTTAAAATTCCCACTAAATGAGGGGTAATGGACTGTGAAGCCCGCTTTGTCAAAGCAGCTGAAGAAAAAGCATTTCCCCAAATTTCAAGGGAGAAAAATTTTTTTTTGTTTGTTTTTTTTGTTTGTTTTCAAAAGACAAATGAGCATATTTAGAAAACAGAACTAGTGATAACCTCACATAATCCTCCTCACTAAAACACTGAGGGGGAGAAGCAAAGTGAGACCGGAATAAAGTCTTTCCTGGAGCGAGGTGACGGGAATACTTGTCAAATGAGCCACGAGATGGTTTCTGTGAGAACGATGATATATTCCCAGTAAGTCAGAGAGGGAAAATATTCCAAAGAAAGCAAGACGACTCAAAGACATGTTCCCGGTGCATAGTGGTAGAAGCTCCTTATCCATCCTCTTTAGGTGGTGTGTACCAACCTGAAGGAACAGAAAGACAAACGCAGTTATTTAAAGAAGCCTTGTTAAAGTGGAATTCATTGACAGTGCATATTGTACACGAACACACAAAAGCCTGATATAAATGCAGTTTCAAACAACTAGAACTGTAACACAGATGTGGTGAAAGAAGAGTGCACAGTTCATCCTGCATGTGGGTCATTGATGTGACCTATTTCTGTGCACCAGCGCATCATTTCTGTTAAATGAATTCGTTTATTTTATAAAACTTAGTTTGAATACATTTGTAGTGCCTTCAAATATGAATTTTTAAAAGTTATCTAAAACCTGTAAATGTCACATGGTCCAACTGTTCGTTTAAATGAACAGAAGACCATCTCTTTAAATGGTAAAATATTTAAAATAAAATATATCTAGGCTGGTACACTTTTCATGGCAGGTGGTATGACCAGTGTATGTCATAAAAAAGTGATATGTTTATACTATTGCTACCAAAAACAAAGGTCAACATTGGTGTCCAAGTAAAACCCTATTTAAACTGGTAATAGTTGTGAAAGTAAGGAGTGCAATCTCAGATCTTTCTTATCTAATAGCTTTTATTATTTAATAGTTTTACTTAAAATATTTGAGAGACTCAGCTTTTGTCATGAACTGAATAAATTGTTTTATACAGAAATTTAGGCACAAAATATGATTCAGAGACACAAATTTATAAAACATTCATACATAAATGCGTTCATGCATGAATACCAAATACTACGTCACATCGATGACCCACAAATGACTGCAGTACCCAAAAAAAGGCCATTTTAAACCAAGAGAAACAGGGTGTGTGTATATACATGCAAATGAAACGTGCACTTATAACCTTTAAGGAAGTACAGTACAAAAATGCAGTGGTATTTTACATATGTGGAAGTATGCTTAAAGCTAATGGAAATGCCATTAGTAAAAACATAATACTCAAATTGTAATTTGTGTGAAAAAACAGTGGGACTAGTATGGATTTTGTTTGTAAAAAGGTTAATTTTTTTTTTTTTTTAAACACTTGCCTATAAATTTTAATTTCCCAGTAAGAAAAGCTTGCTCATGTTTACATTTATATGAAAGTAGACTGTATACATGCATCAGTGAATGGGGACCATTAGCTAAGGATCATGATGTTCCCATTGTGTGTTTATTGAGTGTCAGTAATTCATAACTCTTTCCTTACCATTCTTTTCATGAATCTGAACCAGGGATTTGTATGACTGTTGTGCTCTGGCAAGATTGTACTGGTTCTGAAAGACAAAAGGCAACATGTCAATACGCAGAAGCAGGATGATCCATTTATTTTACTTGTTTTCATTACTGAAACAAAGTTCATTTGAAAACAAAAGCAAACATCACACCAGTTCATGATATGTGTTACCTTATTGGCTCCAAACTGCACCCTGGCTTTTCCTTTAACCAGAGTTGCATTTATCTGCATAATGACAGATTCTATGGAATAGGCACTGCTCCAGCCCTAACAAACGCAAATAGAAATGAATCAGTTCCTGTTGTTAGTCATAATTATTATTTTATTTATCCCATTTGCATACCTGTTTTGTGAGAAGTTCCATGCACAATGCTCCTCCCCCTAAAACATAACTGAAAAAAAAAAAAAAAAAAAAAAAAAGATTCACAAATGTGTCATTGAGTGAGAGTATTAATCTTTTAAAAAAAAAAAAAAAAAAAAAAAAAGTATTTTTCTTGCTCTCCAGAATTTTCTTTCTTAATTTGCTAAAATTATCAGAAGCCTTGAAAGTAAGTATAGCACAGTGATGTATGGCAATTTCGTGTGCTTTATAATTCCTTTTAAATTAAATTTTAACTGCTTCACCTCTACTGCCATAAGCATAGATACAGTGAATCTTCACAAGTCATACCATACTTATTTACAACAGGACTTCTCTAGCAGAGGATCTCCTGTTCTATGATAATAGGTTATTTCTACCCTGTACCGAGCACAATAGCACAATGCAACATAAGCCACTGTATCTTTTAAAAAATAAATAAATGAAAAAAAAATCCTAAGCCACTTAATTTCATGTAACATTTGCTTTATTGAACCACTTGACACACACTTTTTTATTTTTACTTAACTCTTTAGAGTATTATATATATATTATATCATCAAACTCCTTATTAAGCACCTGTAATTCAACTTTTGTTTTAAATTTTTTTATTTCCGACTTCCTTTGTTTTATCCTGTTTAAGTTCGGTCTTCCCATTTTCATCTTCGTAATACTAAATGCCTTCACTCACTCCACGCCATACTTGTCAATGCTCTTGTCACATCTCGTTTAGATTTTTGTAATTCTCTTCTCTGTGGTCCACCTCAAATCTCTCCATAAATTGCAGTTAGTTCAAAACAAAGCCGCTCGTATTATATTCTGAATTAGATCTACTGAACATAGAACACCTGTTCTTAAACCGCTCCGTTGGTTTCCAGTTCACCTCCGTGTCCATTTCAAGATCCTGCTTCTTACTTTCAAAGCGCTTCTTAACCTTGCTCCCCCATATTTATTTGATCCTTTCCATACGTACTCACCCCCTAGTACACCTTGCTCTTCTTCAGTTTCCCTTCTGTCTGTTCCACCTGCTCGCCTGACTTTCATGGGACTCAGACCCTTTAGTTGTTTTGCCCAGAGACTTCACAGTTCGGAGATGTGGTAGAAGTGCATTCCAAACTCTCTCCACTTTTAAATCGCGTCTTAAAACCCATCTATTCAAAATTTCATACCCTTCATCATGATTCCGTCATAGTCCATTTGTACCTTGTTTAGCTTTTATACTTTATTTTTCATTTACCTTATGTTTTATGGGTTTTTTGTACTAATGTAAAGTGACCTTGAGCGTCTTTAAAGGCACGATAAATAAAATGTATTATTATTATTAGTTTTTTTTAAGTTATTTCTTTAAACACCACCTATAAAATGGCTTAAACAATCTTAAGGCTGCAATACAGCAGGAATTTACATATTTGTTTAGTCTAAACAGTGGGGTGTTATTTTTTAATAACAGAAGAAACCATTTGAAGTTGTCAAGCAAATCATAAAGCATATTCTGGGCAGTAACATTCATAAGATGCATATGATGTATGTAATTTGGGCTGGGAACACTACTGCACACTCACCCTCCAGAGAGCACAGGCGAGACAACCCGTACAAAAGGTGGGTCAAAGGGAAAATTATCCTGTTGTAGAGAAGAAGAAAAACTGCCTTAAGACAGCCCTATACTACAAAAAAAATAAAATAAATCTGTTGACAATTACTTCCATAGGACTCACTTTATAAGAGAAATTGAGCAAAATGTAATCCACTCCTTCCTTTTCTTTTAAGACCTGCAAGTCACTATGTAATGGACTATCTGGGTCTACCCTGTAACAAACAGCAACAGAAAAGGTCAAATAAAAGCATAATTTTCAAAGTTGGAAATATAAATAGAATAAAAATACACTCAGAATAAGAACTTACGTCCTTAACTTCACATGCCATTCATAAAGGCTGTCATTGACTAGTTCGACTGAATAAATACCTGTGAAATGAGTCACAAACGCACAAAGAGCTTCACTTAAAGCTTCTGGAAAAAAAAACATTAAATACAATGCAAGCCACAAGCATTGAGTAATGGTTCCTTGTATTCACCTGTCTTGTAACTCTGTGACCTGTAGATCTCCCTGAGTTCCTTCATTAGGCGGTCTGAGGCTTGCACTGAGCCAGAGACTGCACCCTGCAACATAAAACAACTGACGGTTAAACAACTGGACAAACAGGAAGCATACCAGAGGTTTTCAGATTTTGCACAATTTTCTTGGACTGCTGCATTTTTGCACTGAGTGTTGGAGGTTGCTGTTAAACTGGTAGGTTGCATGAGAATGTACAACTTCTTCCCTTTATAATTGACAGACTCAATGAGTCTGTCAATTATACCGCGCCGAAAAAAATAAACAAATCATAATTAAAATTATTTTCTAGTAGAAATTCATACAAAAGACTAATTATCTCATCGTGATTGTGCATTCATAATCTCCAAAAGCCAAAAATATTAACTGAGATTAAGGTTTGATTAAAAATGTGACAGATGGAAATCTTACATTCAAGTGATCTTGTCTCTGATTTTTACGGATTTTCTCCAAGATAGCCAGATTTTCTTTTTCTATCCCTTCATCTTCTGACTTTTTTCCATCCACCGGCTCCTCTTCTTTCATTTCGTAATGGTCCAGGTCTTGGTCCAGATCAATATCCTGCTGGCAGAACACATACATTTGTTCAGAAAAGAGAAAAAAAACCCCCAAAGATATTAAACAAATTGACGATCAATCAATGGATCATATTTGGATACCTCTCCCATTTCGTCTTCTTCTTCCTCTTCAGATGTCACGTCACCTGATAACCCGTGCTGTGAAAGGTTGGAAATTGAAAAACAGTGAGTAGCTAAGGTCAACGAAAGACTCTTGAGCTTTACTCTTATTTACTGAGCTTACTTTTCTGTCTTGGGTGATCGGGCCAGCTGGTAGAGGCTGGTCCAGCATTTCTACATCTGGATGTTGTGGCAGGTTGTAAAGACGACAGAGATCACAAATAAGGCGCTTCAACTGCTGTAGAAGCTATAAGAAACATCGAGAAGATCAACTGTCAATAATAATATTAAATTACATTTTCCTAATGTAGCAAAGCATCCTATGTGGAGCAAGAGCCATATTAACCATCTTACCAATGTGCTGCCTTTCCTCACATCTTCTAGGCGCTCCAACACTTCAGCCAGACTGGGATCATCAGAGTCGACAAACCATATTGGTGGCGTTGAGGGATAGGATTCCTGCAACAGCAGCAATAAGAATCATGCTCAAGTGCTGATGGCTTTACAGTCAACAGAATGCACTTGAATTGTACAGAGAAAACCACTGCTTTTAAGAAACAAAAATGTCACCCTGGGTTAGAAATCTGATTAACATAAAGGGTAATAAAGTTCGTTTCAGAGTTACAAGTGACTTCAAACCAAAAGCCTTAGCCCACACAGCCACCCACTGCACAAAATTAGCCTCCTACAAGCTGAAGAGCGAAAGCAACTCGAGCACGAGAGAGAAGTGGTTAAGTGCTCCTTTGACATTTCAATTAGGTCTTAATACAGCTTTTGAAGTCATGAGTAAAAATCCAGTTTTCAACTGCTGTGCCTAGCAGCAAACGTATTCAAACAAGCATTTAGACACATATGGTAGTACTATGTAAAGTTTGTAAAGCCCAAGAGAAGAAAATACTGCACACAGAAGAAGAGAGAACCGTGTATATATTAATAAGAGATGTTTTATTTTTGATTAGGTTTTTCAGAAAGTTAAGAAAGATGTTGAGAGAAAACATGCTGTATAAAATATGCAGTAATGACTGTGCAGTATTCATGTTAAAATGACTGCACTGAAGTCTGAGAAAACTTCCCTACTTTTCAACTGATTCAAGATCCCAATTTAAAAAAAAAAAAAAAAAAAAAAAAAAAAAAAAAAAAAAGAAGTTTGTCTCGATTGGTAGTTTTAGTTAAAGTTCAAGACCAATTTTTCTTCTCGTTTTAAAGGTTAATAAATCTGCTGGTTTTCCAGAGTCTGAGTAATCATGCTGATTAACTGAGTCAGAAACATCCCTCAATCATAATGCCTGCTTTCAAACAACAAAGATGGTGATGACCAAAAAGCCAAACTCGTGTTTAAAATAGGATCTGACTGAGTGCCTGATACATGCATGCGCCACAGATGAAAAATATTATAGTATTTACAACCTCCAATCAAACCTGGCATAAGATCTCTCATCCACTGTGGGGAGGAGTTAAACACACGGTGCCACAATGTAAACTACACTGTGTAAACTGGGCATCTAATTGTAACCATGACTTGGATGCTGACGTGAATGCTCTTTACAAGTCAGAAACTGGTGAACTGGTAATTACGATGCCTTTATTATCAGCACAGTGCAGTGTTAGTGTAACTCAATAATATGTGCCTTTCAACTTCTTACTAATCTCCATACTAGAGTTCAGCTGATAAACTGATCTTTTACACAAAATGTCATCAATTTCCGAGTTCCTGCTTCTATTTTACGCCTTCGATAACTAAGTGTCATGAGATTTGGGCTGTTGTTACACATTTTAACATTTATTCTTCTGTCTAACTGAACTCTGACTCTCATTCAAGAAAAATGCTGTAAAGTTTATTTTATACTTGCACACAGTGGCCCCCTTTTTGAAAGCTGGAGTGTGTGGTACATAATGGGCGAGCTAGAGGGTCAGTCTCTGCAGGTATTTAAACAATTTATCAAGGACAGAGTACAATGGCAAGGAATTTTTGGAAAAAGACTGCTGAAACAAGTGGAAAATAAAAGACTTTTTGCAGAGAAGTCTAGAAAAAACACCTTTGTGTTTGTAAGACACTTCCTACTTCCTATAAATCATTGCCTACAACTCCAACAGTCAAGTGTACCCGTATGTGTGACTGTCTAGGATAAAGCCATCTATAATTTCATCCATCTAATTTCAAGCTTATCTAAGGTCAGGTCACAGAAGCTGTAACCCTTAACATTATATTTCAAACATCTTTTTACTCCAGTTACTCCTTGAGGACACCCACTCCATCCCAGTACCCAGGGATAAATAACCTGAGTGTTCTGGTTTTGACCCAGGGTCTCCTCCTAGTGGCCAGTGCCCAGAAAACCTCCAAAGGTAGGTGTTAAGGAGGTATTCTGGCCAGATAACAGAACCATCTCAGTTAGCTCCTTTAAAAGTGAAGCAAGAGGGACTCTACTCTGTGCTCCCACTGGATATCTGACTGTCTTACCCAGTCTATAACACTGAGCTCAGCCACCATATGATGGAAACCGATCAACCCCTTTTATTTGTGACCTTGTTCTCCCAGTCGCAACCCAAAACTCATGACAACAGGAGAGGGCTGGAACTACAGACAGTACAAAAGATGATCCAGGCATCTGATTTGGGTCTGAAAAGTGAAGTCTATTTGTCTAAATCTGTTACGTTCACATGACGGCTCTACGTGTACATGGTAAATAATGTGCACTTGTCTTTAAATAATACCAGCGAGAATAACAGCATCAGTGGGTGCTCTCCTATGTTTCACGAGACAGAACATTTGGTTTATGCTTTGACCCGTCTTCCTCCCTTCATACCAACCATTTGTGGAAGATGGCCACCCCTCCCTGAACCTGGTTCAGCTGGAGGTTTCTTCCTGTTAAAACAAACTTTTTCCTTCCCACTGTCGCCAAACACTTTCTCATAGGAAGTCATACGTTGGGTTTCTCGGTGTATGTATTATTGTAGGGTCTACCTTAAAATATACAGTCCCTTGAGGTGACTGTTGTCGTGATTTGAATTAAATGTCTCTTTGCTTTTCTAATCCTTGGAAGACTTGGTTTAAATATCTTTTAAGTATCAGCCGTGCCAGTTTTTCCAACTATTTTAATCAGATATTTTGTGGCTGTCTGCCAACTTAGATGCTAGCATAACACTGTGAATGTGCTGCTTACGTAGCCTTAAGCTTTATTTGTGCTCACCACATTGGTAGCCGTGTGCACCTACTGTGATGTCATTGCAGTACATCAGACTAGAAATCTTCTCCTGATTGATGGAGGTCACCACTCAGACAAAACCTCTGCATCAATGCTTGCATAGAAGGAGGATGCAAAGGAAACAGTTTTATGTTATTTTCCTTCAAAGTCTCATCTTTCTGAAGCAAACTTAAGTGGTGAAAACTGGGCCCTAGACTGCAGTCTAAAGGGGCAATTATAATTTGTATTGTCACCGTTGCAAACAGTGGTGCCTCAAGCCATGCTTGGTCATTTAGGCTGCTTGTACATCTACATTGGTGGCAAAGCTGGTAGACATGAATGTATGGCTGTGACAACTTGCACCACCTTTTCAATGATATAGCAGTATAGGAGCTCAGTGATTCACAAATTATAGAGAGGGAGATGCCTCCAGTTTTGATTTCTTCTACTCCTAAACCAGCACTAATGTGGAGGTTTCTGTCTGAGCAGAGAAGAATGCAGTTCAGGAGAAGAATGAAGCACTGGTATAAATGCTGACCAGTTTGTAGTGACATTACTGTTTGTGCACAACATGATCAATGCAGTAAACCTAATGGGCTTTGGCATAATCCTAGCTATGTAAAAATAAATAAATTTAAAAAAAAAAAAATCACTCTGTAGCTCTGATGTCTTCGTGGCAATCTGCTTCAAATCATACCCAATGATATCCAACATGACCATGTTCACAGCATGGGGCCACATTTAACTCACAGCTACCCCTCTGAACAGGAAGAATGCAATATACCTGAGTGTAATCTAGTTTTCCTTTAGCATGAGCTGACTCAAAAGGACACAGACAGTGAGGTTTAATCTCAATATGGCAGGGTATTCGGAACGTTTCAACAAGCACTCGCGCGTCCTCAAAATGCGCATAAGTGTAACTCTGTGTGTGCATGCTTTTGCTGAGAGGAGGAGGATGTGGTCAGGTTGTCAGGAAGATTCATCATCTGCTTACCTGAACCAAGCAAAACAAGTGCCAAGCGAAAAGAAAGAACCTCAGTTGTTAATAGATTACACCTACCTTCATCCACATTTTGTGATGGCTGGGAATGTCTGCTTTGCGCAAGTTTGAATTTGATTTTAATCGCTAATGTATTGGAGCGGGCTGTGAAACGCGTATAAATACTAGGCCCCTGTTTCGTTTCTTTTTGGTGGTGGGGGGGGGCTGCGTTACTAAAAAATATACAGTTCCGCTGACGTTAACAGCTGGTCAAAAAAGCAATATTGTCACGTACATTTCACATGTACATTGCGTCGCTTTCGTCAGGTTTTAGTGTCGAGATAAAGAAGACACTAACGTAACCGCTTTAATGTATGCCAGTAAGTTCGTCAGAGGGATCAGTCTACTTACTGAAAAAGGCAGAAAGGACGACCGAACAGCATTCCATTAAACCGCTTCTATTTCACGTCAATTAAAGCCATGTACGGGACCTCGACGCTATGTCTGTTTAAAAAACACACGTACACAGTAAAATACTGCTTGAAAGCAGCTGGGGTGTAGTGAAAGCCCTCGTATGACCGAACTAAATTAAGTTTAAATTGAACTAGATATAGGCCATAAGTGATAAAGTTAGCCGTTGTACTACTTTCAACAGTAACGCAGTTAATTTGGCAAACAAAAACAAGCTAGCATTAATGTTAGTTTCAGTTAACAAGCTAGCAAAAGCAACCGCAGCGTCGTTACTAATCGACGTTTTATTGTATAATTTTTCAAAGTGAACATAACACTGTTCGTGTGTCGTCCACTTTAATCCACGGGGTTACTCGGATTTTAATGGCCTGACACAGTTTATAAATGAAAGCGAAGACTTTATTCGTAGTTAATTTGTAAACACGGTGCCTTCCGCGGACCGATTTGGTTTCAGTCGATAGTCAGACGCTGGGTTAGCTTGTGCGCAGAGCTGGCCTGGACTCACCGTGATGTTGCAGTGGATGATCAGCAGCTTCTCCCCTGTTACGTTGAATTGGCAACTGAGTTCATCGGGTTTCCAGTCTATTATTCTGAATCGTTCGTGGTTTGGGTCAAAGATTGACTCCAAAAACTTCAGTTCGGCCTTCAGCCCCGAAACCGACATCTTCTACTCATCTCAAACCACCAGGCCGCTGGCAGAGGGGAAGTCGGGGCGGAATGCGACCGCGCAGTCGAATCGGCTGTACGGATCTCGCATATTAGCGTGAGAACAACAACAAAGGGCTGGAGAGTTAGCTTTATATAAACCTGTGTAGCGCACATAGACTCTTAGCAGCGTTTTGACAGCTGTGACACCACATACGTACATAAATATATTTACATTATTTTATATTTATTTTCGCACCACTACAGATGGAGTCATAGTTGTGACTTTTGCTTAAACGAACCATTTAACAGCATGAAAAGGTTCAGTGTTATACAAGATAATTAGTGCCCCCCATCCCCTTGTTTTTTTTTTGTTGTTGTTTTTTTTGTTTTGTTGTTGTTGTTTTTGTTTTTAAAAAAAGAGTATTTCCTATATGCTGTTAAACAAAGCAAAGAATCTTAAACACGGACAACCTAGTTTTATTTTGGATGGTTACTACTTCACACATAGAAATAAAATTATTTAGGAAAAAACGAAACTACCATGGTCAAAATTATTAGCTTCCCTATTGCCAACAGTCAGTTGTGTATCCTTTTTGCTGGATAACAGCCTAGAGTCAGTTGTTGTAGTTTTCACCAAGTCCCACAAGCAAATCTTGAGCAATCAATTCTTTTTTGGCAAATCTCTCAAGCTCCTTCAGATGTGATGGTCTTCTGTCTGGCAGGGACTCTGGTCTTCAGTTCACCCCACAGATTTTCAGTGGGATACAATTCAGGGCTTTGTGTGGGCCAGTCAGCAACGTTCACTTTGGTCTTCTGTAGGTAGTTCTTCACCAGGAGCGACCTATGCTCAAGGTCGTTGTTGTGTTGGAAGGTAAAGTGATGACACAGACACAATTTTCCTGTTTGAGGTTTTTTAAAATAAAAATCTTCACACACCATTCTTTCTTAATTATTGCTTCTGCTTTGATAAGATTTCCAGTTCTTGATGCACTGAAGTCTCCCCATAGTATAATACTCCCACCACCGTGTTTACCCTGGGGATGATGTTCTTTGGGTTGTAGGCCTCTCACTTTATTCTGTAAACATAAGCAACATCTCTTTGGCCAAAGAGCTCTAGTTTTAGGCACACTGCCAGTATAATCTTTCTCCAGGTTGTCCTGGGAATACTCCAGTCTAGCATGAAGGTGTCTGTTTTGCAAAAGCAGAGTTTTTCTTGGTCTGAAACCTTGGGGTCTATTCCTGAGCATTGATTTAGTTATTTTCTTCTTTAAGACTACAATTGTCTTCCTTCTCATATCCCAACTAGTGGCAGCAGATGGCTGCCCCTCCCTGAGCCTGGTACTGCTGGAGGTTTCTTCCTGTTAAAAGGGAGTTTTTCCTTCCCACTATCGCCAAAGTGCTTGCTCACAGGGGATCGTTTGACTGTTGGGTTTTTCTGTGTATGTATTATTGTAGGGTCTACTTTACAATATAAAGCACCTTGAGGTGACTGATGTTCTGATTTGGTGCTGTATAAATAAAATTGAATTGAACTGAATTACAATTGCAGGCTCAGCTAAAGTATTTACTAGAATCTTAGCAGTTGGTTTGGGGCCTTTAGACACATGTTTCACCAGTTTTACTTTCGTTTATCTAAATTTATCTAAATCTTTCAAGTTTTGAGCATCACAAAGTTAAAACACATCATCGTACAGCAGTGGTTTGTACCATGGCTAAATAAAACGGTCAGTTTCTCAGGAGAATAATAATATTGACCCTGGTCAATTTTGTTTTTCTGAATTAATACTGTTATTGTGTTCAAACAGAAATAATTTGTGCAGTCTAATGAAAAATAGTATGTTCAGGAAGTGCTATGTTGACAGTCTCTTGCGCTATTAAAAAAAGCACAGGCCAATTTCGACAAAAACTTTAAATTTCATGGGGGGTAATAATTTTGTCCTGATATGCATATACATGTATTGATACTATTTATCAATCAGATGTATAATTAGTCAGTGTATAATACCAGTCAGACATGTAGCTACATCAGCTGTTTGGGAATTGTGAATGTTTGTGGCACAACAGCACATATTAACTGTCACGCAAAGCAAAACTGTGAATCATGAAAAGACCACAAACTAATTGACATACTCAAGCCTGTGGTCTTATGAGTGTTGCCTGGCTTCTACAAGATAAGATAATATAAGAGAAAAGACGACTACATAGTTTAATGTAGAATAGTTAAATAAAATAACAACAATATGACAAAACAAAGTATAGAAATGCACAAAAGCCAATACTTAAAACGTATTGTCAAATGAAGTGGTAAAGATTTTCTGTATCTGTCCTGTGTCAAACAGAGTAAAAGAACCGATTAACAAATTTTGAGCCTATAGTCACTGTGTCAACAGTTTGGCCCATATATTTTTATTTCTTATGTTTTTGTCGTTATTTATTCCCTCCTTTATTTCCTAAAAAACATGTAAATCTTCAGTGAAAGTAAATATATTTTAGTAAAGTCTTCTAGGTCTTGAATATCATCACACTGTCTTTAAACATGTAGCTAGTGTAACTTATGTGACACCGTTGATAAACCACTACTTATTGTAAATGTTATCTCATTGGCTGATAAGCTGATATCATTTAATATAGCCAATGCTGGATGATAACAATGTTTGGTGTTAATGAAAATAACAATGGTGCACTAGAGGGGCATCAGTGAGACAAATGACAAGACGTGAATGGTTTTACAGGTGGAGGCCAGTGACATTTTTTCCTCCTCATATTTCTAGACTGTTTTTTCACTACTTTTGCATTTAACTATAGGGTCAGGGTCACTACTGGTAGCACAAGGCGATACCTGGACCCTACAGAGGTTTCACAGGTAGTCCCACTCCTCCAGTATGGCATATGTGCCACTGGAGTTTGTTCTGTCTTCCAGCAAAGTCTCAAGAGCATGGAGGAGATTCCGGTAGACAAGCAGTTACACTTGGAGAGCTGGGCACAGCTGTGGAAGGTCCGTAACCCATCAGCCACCAAGGACAGGATAAGGACTGCCAGAGCCCTACAAAATGACTTCCAGCAGCAGGACACTGGTGTGAGTGTCTCTGACCAAGCAATCAGACAGTGACTTCACAAGGGCCTGGCATCCTCAAGTGGGACTGTGCTCACGGCTCAGCACTGTGGAACCAGATTGGAATTTGTCATAGAATTACAGGTCCAGCATTGGCACCCTGCGCTTTTCACAGATGAGAGCAAGTTCACCCTGTGCATATGTGACAGACGCATGTGAAAAAGAATGTTTTGCTGCCTTTAACATTGTTACATTGAAGGCATATAATAACGTAGGGAGGGACAGACCTCTACAGGCTAGCCAACTGTGCTATGGCTGCCATTCACTACTATGCTGGTGGAGTGGGTGCTGGGTTCCTCCTGATGCACAACAATGCTTGGCCTCATGTGGTGAGAGTCTGCAGGCATTTCCTGGAGGAATAAGAAACTGAACCATAGACCGGACCCTACGTTAAAACCTATAGAGCACCTCTGGGACCTTACATTTTGGTCCACCGAGTTGCACGTCAGCCTGTGCAGGATCTAAGTGCTTCCCTGGTCTAGATATGGAAAGAGATCACCCAGGACATCATGTCTTCTCATTAGGAGTGTGCACCAATGATGTCAGACATTCATAGTCAGAATCTATACAAACTACTGATTATCGTTCTGAGTTGCTATAGTGACATGTTAGCATTTCCAGTGAGATGCTCTGCAGCCACTTACAGTTGCTGCTTGTTTATGGGTGTTTCTGCATTCAGTCTTGTATTTAGTAGTGGAAAAACACCCGATTTAAGCTCAAGAGCTTTGATCGGGTGACTGACGTGGTCACTGGAGAATATCCCATTTCTTTGCCTTTGGGAAACTCTTGCAGTTTGCTTTGGGTCATCACCATTATCACTACGAAGCACTGTCCAGTTTGGAGCATTTGGCTATTTTCATTCTGTCATAATGCCGTGTGTGAGCCAGGAAGGATCAGGACCTAAAATACAGAACTCAGAAGTAGGACTAAGTTATAAGTGCATATAAACCAAGTTATTCCATTGATATGAGTTACAGCTGCTTTTTAAACATTCAGAACTTTTACTTCTATACATCTATAAACCATCTCAACATAATATGACTGCATTAATAAGCACATTTCTAACTGATCTCATAGAGATAATCGTTTCTGGTAATTTTAGGCTGTGGAAACACTTTTTTGCATGCACCCATGCAGTTTAATGCTCTGGCCTAGGTAAACAATCAAGCAGTACAGAGTAATGCACTGATTGGACACTAGATGGCAGAAAACATGCATCTGTTCTGTTTACAAGCTAACATGAACTCTGGCAGTAGTAGTTCAAAGCCCAGTACACACACCTTGTATAACACAAATCAGTACACCGTGTAAAAGGTGGATTTAACACAGCACCAAACATTGCATAACCGTGATAGCGAACTTGAACCTGGGGTTCACGGCTCGAAGCATTTGGGTAAGTATTACTATAGCTTAAAATGTAAATATGTTTGGAGAAACATCCCGCACTTTGTGATAAAACACTTTATGATAAAAATGTGAGTCTAACTATTTTAATTTTGGATGATTAAACATCTATAATTAGATATTATGGAGTGGTACGCCTAGATTGTGATCTTAAAGGCAGATTTAGCTAGCTTTGTTGGATTTGATTTTATTAAACAGTGTGGTCTTTCGCAAGCAAACTGCAGTTGGAGTTGTATTATATATAGGCTGTGGACCAAAATGACGCAGAGCCGGTTTTTCATTAGAACTTAATTCAATTATTACAGTTTAAATTTCTAGAATGTTTTCAATTTTTCCCTCGTGTGGCTATGAAGAGTGAGGCTGGTGCAAGATTTTATTTGTGAAATTGAGCGTGGGTGTGGATAATTACAATTATACTGTTTGATTTGAGTTTTGTGTCTGGATCCCTTTCTTTATTTTTTTAAATCTCTGAGAATTATGAAGACCCAGGCTGGTATAAAAGTTTTTTTTTATTTTTCACTGTAAGGGAGTGGGAATGTGGACTAGCAGTCCAGCGCTGGTTGTGTGGCACATCCCCGCATGGAA